GGCCGCATAAGGATCAAATTATTTTCTGTCCCTTCCTATATAAATTACTATTCCCTTAATCAGTTTTAGTTGCTTTTAATTTGATAATGGTAGTTTACAATCGCCAATAAATATGGCATGTCAGAAACAATGTAAATATCAGTCAAACTAAAATAGCGACAAAATTGGCTTGCCTAATTCACAAGTAATTGATAGTTTCTCAAATTTAATTTTACTTTACTGTTTAAGTTTAAATTAAATTCATTAAAACAGTTCAAACATCATTTTAATAATTGCGATGTGTCCCACTAGTAACTAGTAGTACTTCTGCCAGACTAGCATTTACAATAAAAATAAATAATAAATAGACTGCATATTGTACACTGCGACATCTTTGTTTGTGTTTACATGGCAATTATTTTCCATGATATTTGCTCCTTACTTCGCTACTAGATGGCACTCTGGAACGTTCTCGTAGCCTCGTTTTGGCTATGTGGCGATGTGCAACGAGACCTCAGTTCCCAACAACACAAACTAACAGCGCGTTGTGGCAAATACAGTATTGAGTAAATATTTTGCGACTTACGTATTCCAGTTTACGTATTTACGTATTCCAGTTTACGTATTTACGTCTACGATAAATTACAAATTATGGGTACGTTTTTAAAAAGAAGTGCAGAACCATCTACGTCTAAAAGTGGCAGTAATAAAACGAAAAACAGACTATAAACTGATGAATATCTAAAATATAATTTTACCGTTATTTCCAATAAATCACATTGTGTTATTTGTGGATAAGTCTTGTCAAAAGAAAGCATGAAGCCTTGAAGCCATCAAAATTACTTCGACATTTAAGTAGTAAACATTCAGATAAAAAATACAAACCCGTAGAATTTTTTGAAAGAAAGCTGAAGGTCCTTCACAAACATAATGTGTAGAAAGTGTAACAAAATGACATTTACACATAAAATAAAATAAATAATTACGACACTCCATCTATTTTATACAGGATCAATTAAGAAGTTATTTAGACACATTAAGTGTTATACTAGTTTTAAAAACATTGTTCAATACCAAATTATGTAAAATCTTCAAAGAAAAATATATTACCCTATCAACAACATCTTTAATTCGAATCAAACGAAACATCGATATCATCCAACCCATATTAACATACCAACAGAAAATCGTGTACAGGCAATAAAATGCATCGTGTATTTTGAACACCATCACAGTCCATAAGATGATACTGTCAAAAAGAGAAAAAAACAACAAACAACATGGAAAGTACTGCTCACGAATAGAAGGTATGCATTGGGACATAGCGTAGTGGAAACAAATTCTTATTATACCTGTACAGTGTTTGTTGTCGGTATCTAATCGATTTAATATAAATAAAAGTGGTTGAGTGGTATAATTGGGGCCGAAATACGTGCCTTCAAGTACGTCATAAGAGCATCTGAGAATAGGTACACTACGAAAACAAGTGTGTGGTGCACTCAAAGCCAATTTTGAATTGTTTAAATCGTTTTTGAGAGAATTCGAATTGTATCTATAATGTCATACTTTTACATGGTAAGATTCCATTTTTTAAAAATGATGAACTAGTATTTTTTAGATTTAAAGCTGAGAGTGTTGCCTTTTTTTAATTTTTGGTAGGTATTATTATTTATGAAGCTGAATATTACCAGATAGTAGTTTTGTATGTCTAATATTTCCTCTGACAAACGTGGCAACGTTGCATGTACTTCTAGAAAATAGAGCAAGTGGTTTACGAAAACTACGATAGTACAAATTCAAACAGATATACCACTTTGTCATGTTTGTCAGATAAACTATTTGACAAACAAAATTACAGTCTGATAATATTTATATTTATTAAAATTTAAAAAAGGGAATTCTGTTAGTTTTGAATCTGAAAATACTAGTATATATACAATTTTACCTATTTTACCAGACATACAATGTTGCCGCATTTGCCAGAGAAACTATTTGACAAACAAAATTGCAGTCTGATAATATTCAACTTGAGAAATAATAAATTTATATTTATTAAAATTTAAAAAGAGAATGCTTTCAATTTTTAATCTGAAAATACTAGTATTTATAGAATTTTACCGTGTAAATGCAAAAAAAATGTGATATTATGAATCATTTGGCAAATGCGCGCATTTTAACAATTAACGGTTAGAAGAAATACAGGGAATTAAGACTTTTCTGACACAATGATTCTCTGAAAGAATTTGATGAGATTTTCCTTACTTCTAGCTAAAATATCTTATTGGGAAAAGTAGCTACAACCAGAGAAAGAAGTTTAATATCTTCATAAATATAATTCAAAGTTCAGAAATGAAAGTAAACAGGTCCACTATTTCTAACAATCGCCAGAATCATTGAGTAATGTTTAAAATATTATTTTATGGTGACATTCACCAACAGCGTGTCATGGTAATAAAAGACAAATGACAGGTTGCACAAAATGAGAATGTAAAGAATTGTGTATGGTTACCAAGTCACGAGAAAAGAACCAGAACCAACTTATCAAAAATAAATAAGTCTAAGTCAGTGTTAAAGGTTATGGGTTACGTTTTGTGATCTGAGGCTGCGATTCATCCATAATAACAGAGATCCTAAAATATAGTTGGGTTGATAAATATTTATTTTGCTCCATTTTTTGTAATGGACGCTAGTCCTTCAGCTTCATAAACATTGAAAGGCGTCGGTATCTGTAACTTGTGGAGAGTAGGTCACTCATCTTCTTGTTCGCCCCCCTACAGAATGCGAAATGGAGATACTTCCGTACTTAGAAATGACCAATCAGAATGCCGCAGATTCTGTCTAGTCATTGTCAAGTATTTGTTTTCTGTAGTACTGTCAGTATAACTTAAAACGTCCCTTTCAACTCTGCAGCTTCTTGTTTCATCCAAGCTTTCCTTGAATTTCATAAGGGAATGTTTAATAAGGTTTGTCACTACCAATGTTATAAGTCCAATGAAAGGGTTAGGTCCAAAAGGTATTTGGTTAGCTGCCTTCTTGAATGCTGAATCATCTTAAGGTAGACCACATCCACCTCCAGTCCATCATTATTAAAAAAAAAACTCTTATAGCCGAAAAATATGTAATCCAGATCTGCTATCCCGTCATCTAGGGGACACAGTGGAGAATATGTCAGTTCTATTTTATGTAATTAAGATGGAAAAGCACCCATGATCCATTTTCAATCGAGTTATAATTGTGCAGAACTTTTCTTAATTTTGTGTTGGGAATTATTAACCATTTAAATTTAAGAGATAAAAGGAGAAAGGTCTGACTCTAGAACCACTCTAGGCAAGAAGCTTGAAAAATGATAAACGTGACTAAACCATGACCCACGGTAACTGGTCTATGGAATTTAGTATAAAAAACCAAACTAGACAAGGTACTCTAGCCAACGATTGAAGGATATCCACAATAGATCTGAAAAGGTCAAGGTAGGGGAGGCTACATGGCCCGCAGTTCTAACAAAATATAGTCTAATTTAATAATCTTTACAAGGCTTGGGGTCAGTACTTTTACCTATAGATAGATAAGCTTTAATTTCCAGATAATTATCCTACAGATAAGTTAACCAGAACTCATCTAAAATATAACTTTTGCGAGTATTTTCATTTCAAATTATCCCATAGATAACTATCTTAGAGATGTACCTACTAGTACTATTTAAGGGAATATATTAAAACAGTGAAAGACCGCAGAGACCCCCTCACATTAGCAGAAGTCTACAGAATTCCATGCACTTGTGAAAAAGTATACATAGGACAAACAAAGAGAAGCATTGGTACAGGAATAACGGAAAACAAACTAAGTTATCGTTTAGGACAAACCGAAACATCTGCAGTCGCGGAACACAGATTATCCGATGGAGAAGACAAGATCCTTTTCGAAAACACCGACCTACTAGCAACATCCAAGACATTGCTCGACTAGATTGCACTTGGAGGCTATTGAAATACACAAATATCAAAAGAACTTCAATAGAAAGGAGAAAAACAACTACCTAGTCTCTGACACACAAAAATTAAAAAGCGCGAAAATATTACCATTTAATACCAGTCACGCCACTGAAGATGGCCGCCGTAGTTGTAGCTGAAACGTTTTGTAGTAATAACCAAGAAAGACCACTGCATAACAACCCGGAAATAAACAATTACAGTACTATTTAAGTAAATATTGCCAATTGAAATATATTCAAAATAAAAGAAAGAAAAATAACCTAGAGTATGTTTTGTGAAATAAGTCAATTCACAAAACTGTACTCTCTATTCTGTCATGCGTCAAAGTCAAGTCATATTATTTACTTCATTTTGTTTATGGATGGAAAATTTGTTTTATTAGTATTTGGTGACTGATTATTATTTTGTGACTTTTTTTTAGTATTTAGTAACGTTTTGCTAATGTTTGAATGTTAATTTTTTAACATTTTACCCGATTTTTTTTATTAAAATCTCTCAAATGCCGAGAAGCAGTAGAAGAAGGTCGGAACACTGAATTACCGAAATATTTAAGACTTTAAGAAACATTTCTACACTAAACGAATGGTCATTTTCACTCAATTTCAAGAATAAAATGCTAGCCGGTTTACGTTGAGAGTTTATGAATAAATAATTTTTAAACAGCATGTTAGCTTTTAGTTTTTAACAATAACCACTATTCACATAAATAAACAATCCAAAAAGACAAATATACAGTAACCACTGCTATCAAAATGCAAATAACGATAATTTTGTTAGGTTATGATAGATATGACATGACTTTAGTCTATCATTTCTATAGCTTGCGCATGCGCTTCATTCTTCTCTGTAAGATAAAATAACTAACCATTGATAATATCTACGAATAAATTTTCCTGGGTATAAGAGGATTTTAACTGGTAGATACAACTATTTGAAGGTAAAAGTACGGTATTTTCACTCATCTTCAGATAACATTTACTCTTCAGTACAAATTACTTTATATCTGTAAGTAAAAATACTTAGTCTTAGTCTTAGTCTTAGTCTTAGTCTTAGTCTTAGTCTTAGTCTTAGTCTTAGTCTTAGTCTTAGTCTTAGTCTTAGTCTTAGTCTTAGTCTTAGTCTTAGTCTTAGTCTTAGTCTTAGTCTTAGTCTTAGTCTTAGTCTTAGTCTTAGTCTTAGTCTTAGTCTTAGTCTTAGTCTTAGTCTTAGTCTTAGTCTTAGTCTTAGTCTTAGTCTTAGTCTTAGTCTTAGTCTTAGTCTTAGTCTTAGTCTTAGTCTTAGTCTTAGTCTTAGTCTTAGTCTTAGTCTTAGTCTTAGTCTTAGTCTTAGTCGAAAAAGACGAGTGAAAGTTAGAAAAAAAAAAACAGAATGGGAAAGTTTTATAATTAAAAGTATATGTTACAACAAAGATAAAGTAAAGACACTTCTATTCGCAACAAATATATCACTGAAAATACAAATTGTATAATTGTGTCGTATTTTTTGAGAGAATATTTTGGTAAATAAACGCTTTTTCTGAATGTACGTGCTCGTCCAAGTCAAAAGTATGACTTGCACACGCGAATATGGTCCATTACGGCTAAACTCATTAGTTGTTTCGTTAACAAGTTAACAAGATGGCAACGTTATCACGATCGATCTCTGATGATACTCTACCTATCCACGCACCGCGGGTATAAAAGTAATACGCCCCCCCGCGTGCCCCCTCGGCATACCGCATACCGCTCCGGATCCTTACCAAATTATAGTGATAGAAGAAATCCGCTCTTAGACCGTTGTTAACTTTTCTTTTTCCTTTCTTATACGTGTAGTTAGTGGATTTTTTCAAACAAGGAAACGAGGTATGTGCGGATGGGTGTACATCTTCGTGCTCTACCGACTCGGTGAAATGTATTTTCTAGATAATTTTAGGATTTTATGTTGGTAAATATGGTGGAATTATGGAAAGAAGACGAAGGAATTGTGGTGCTTGTTCAAGCGCGTACCTTATTTGGTTTTCGTTCGATAGTATAAAGCGAATTATGAAAGAGTATGTTTTCGAGAACAAATAATACGCTATTTACGGTGTTCTGTTAACCATGTGGGTACGGGTGTTATTTGTAATAATAATAAAAATGTCGACAAGGTATAACTGCCGGTTTTTATATTCAAAATGGTCGTAAAAAACATTAATGCCATCATTGGAATATCAGTTTTTGTTTACAGAACAAGTAGATGTCTGTCGTTAAGGAAATCTTTTCTAATTTAAAAATTATATAGTTTTTGATCCATAAAATTAAATGATCATGCCTTTAAGCCAAAATAAATTTGCTAGATCAAAAAAAAAGTAAATCAAACCATTCTATTACAAATCAAACGAAATAATCATTAATCTATAGAAAATATTAGTATTTAAGCATATTTAGAGAATTTTTGATAGGTAGGTAAGTACCCTTAATATAATATACCACGGAGTTATCTAAATTTAAAATTGATATCAGGTAGGTATGGAACAATAAAAAATCCGAACACAAAATAGCAAGAAATATTGTGGTGATCAGAGTAAATACTGTAAAAAATTTATATTGTGGTTCTTTCAAATCTCATAGGTAATAAAAGACATCTCCAGCACAATAGCGAAGCATATTTTTTGGAGGATACGTATTAGTTGTGAGATCATAAATGATGGGCCGACAAAAATAACAAAATCCTCAAAAAACAAACGACAAATTATAAGAAAACTGCTAAAAATGATAAAAACAGTTGAATTTTTTAATTGTTTATAGAATCATCACATCTTTTTCAAAAAACTCAGAAATAAAAGGGATACAGAATTAAAAAATCTAAATCCTTTCATGGACTTGTGTATCAAAAATTACGCTAAATAAGAAGTCTTTGTACATTTTTATTTTTTTTTTGTTACTTTTTTATGAATCAAATTTCACCTTCTGCTGAAATTTAATCGAGTTTGATAGGTAGCGAATTTATATGACAGCAATGAAATTAGGAATATGCTGCTCGTTTATGGCTAATGTCTTCAAAGTACATGTATCAAAATTTTTAGTGTTGTACAAAATGTACAGTGAACGAATTCACCTTGTACTTCAACACTTTGGTGAATAGTGATAACTTTATACACATTATTTAAGTTAGACAGGATCGCATTAGATACATTTTGGAACAAATTAATGTATTTTTTTTATTTTTGAGTTGTGAAAAAGTTTTTTAAATTTTAATGACTTTTATACACAGTAAAAAAAGTATCAACTTAGGATTCACCCTGCATAGTTAATAATTGCTGTTAGAATTTAATAAATAACTATTACAAATTGTAAAACAACTGTAAAAAAACCGTTAAAACCTGTTGATAACTGTAAAAAACTGTTAATGTTTAAAAACTGTAAAAAGCGGTTTAAAAACTGTTAAAAATTGTTAAAAACTATTAAAATATGTTTAAAAGCTTTGAAAATTGGTTTAAAAACTGTTAAAAAACTGTTAAAAAACTGTTAAAAAACTGTTAAAAAACTATTAAAAAACTGTTAAAAAACTGTTAAACGCTGTTAAAAAACTGTTAACTGTTAAACAGTGTTAAAGAGTGTTTTAACAGTGTTAAAAGAGTGTAAAGAGCGTAAAGAGTGTTAAAAATTATGAAAAATTGTTAAAAAACTGTTAAAAATTGTTAAAAATTGTTAAAAAATGTTAAAAATTCTAAAAAATTATTAACAATGGTTAAAAATTGTTAAAAATTATTAAAAATTGTTAAAAATTGTTAAAAATTGTTAAAAATTGTTAAAAATTGTTAAAAATTGTTAAAAATTGTTAAAAATTGTTAAAAATTGTTAAAAATTGTTAAAAATTGTTAAAAATTGTTAAAAATTGTTAAAAATTGTTAAAAATTGTTAAAAATTGTTAAAAATTGTTAAAAATTGTTAAAAATTGTTAAAAATTGTTAAAAATTGTTAAAAATTGTTAAAAATTGTTAAAAATTGTTAAAAATTGTTAAAAATTGTTAAAAATTGTTAAAAATTGTTAAAAATTGTTAAAAATTGTTAAAAATTGTTAAAAATTGTTAAAAATTGTTAAAAATTGTTAAAAATTGTTAAAAATTGTTAAAAATTGTTAAAAATTGTTAAAAATTGTTAAAAATTGTTAAAAATTGTTAAAAATTGTTAAAAATTGTTAAAATTTTTTAAAAATTGTTAAAAATTGTTAAAAATTATTAAAAATTTTTAAAAATTGTTAAAAATTGTTAAAAATTGGTAAAATTGTTAAAAATTGTAAAAAATTGTTAAAATCTGTTAAAAATTGTTAAACATTGTTAAAAACTGTTAACAACTGTTAAAAATTGTTAAAAATTATTAAATATTGTTAAAAATTGTTAAAAATTGTAAAAAATTGTTAAAATCTGTTAAAAATTGTTAAACATTGTTAAAAACTGTTAAAAATTGTTAAAGATTATTAAATATTGTTAAAAATTGTTAAACATTGTTAAAAAATGTTAAACATTGTTAAAAAATGTTAAAACTTGTTAAAAACTGTTAAAAAACTGTTAAAAACTTTAAAAACCGTTAAAAAAAAACTGTTAAAAACTTTAAAAACCGTTAAAAAATATTAAAACTATTTAAAAATTTTAAAAACGGTTAAAAACTGTTAAGATCTGATAAAAACTGTTAAGAACTGTTAAAAAAACTAATAATACCTGTCTAAACAACCGCTAAGAACGGCTAAAAACTCTAAAAAACTATTAAAAACTTCTTAAAACTGTAAAAAGCGATTACAAAAAGTTATTACAAATTGTTTTATTTGTATCTTCGGCTCGTGTTCTATGTCGGTTATGGAGTACTAGTAGTCTAATACTCTATATTGCAGGAATGGTAGTAAGTACTCCTGCATCCCTACAGACAGGCTGTGGTACCGTTTCCCGGCGACCCTTTAGGAACAACACTGTTAATTAGAACCCAATAGTAAATGCTCGGAGTGGGAATCCTGCCCACGCATCAGAAATATTTTTAAATAAATAAATAAAATTAAAAATCCCGGCCAACAGTGGAATTCGAACCGCGAACTCTTCGCTTCACAAGTCCAGACTCTAGCCACTAAGTCACCTACAACGTACATATTTTTAGTAACATTAAACTTCTGTTAAAATCTGTTAAAAAACTTTTAAACAATTGTTAAATAACTATTAAAAAAACTGTTAAAAAAACTGTTAATAACTGTTAAATAACTGTTAAAAACTGTTAAAAACTGTTAAAAAAACTGTATAAAAACTGATAAAAACTTTAAAAAAACTGTAAAAGCTGTTAAAAATTATTAAAAACTTTTAAGTAAAAATTTTTTACGTCAAAATGGTAAAATTAACTAAAAACTACAAAAAGCAATGGAACCGATTTGTTTTGCTTGTAAAGAGCTTATATACTATGGAAATTAATGACAAAGCTCCTCTAAACAATCCTGCATAACAGTGTTTAAAATAAAATACTAAGTAAATTATAAGAAAAAATTGACAAAGAAAATATTGAATTCATAGTTTATTAAGGAAATCAGTAAAGGCGATAAATATTCTCATTATGGCCTCAGAAAACATACAGCATAATAATATGTGCCATGACAATACCTGTTGGAACCACGACCATATATAAACCTAAACAACTACTACCTACTTCTGACATTAACAAGCATTATTTAAGTATTCGCAATCGATTCTATCGATAAAATCAACGATTTGATCAGGCAGCGGCTAAGAAGCTCTCACATCATAAAGAATTTATATTAGTTTAAAATTACTTAGATGAATCTATTTTCTAGATTTTTAAGATAACTCATGTGTGTATTTTTACCACAAATAACTAAATAGTGTGTGGTCAAATATTTACTGTATGAAAATGGTTAGTTTCGGAAAGCCGTAAACGAAAATTTAGTTAATCGAAGATATGCAAGTGAAAGAGACCGTATACTAAATCACGGCTGTCCCTTCAGGCGCCAAGTTCATCGTATTCCCATGAAGTAGTGTCAAAGTTTCACTATAAGTACATTTTCGATTCTTCATTACATAAATTATGACAGTATGTAGCTTCCAGGCTCGTTAACTTCCACACAATATAATTGGCTAACTATAACTTGTCAACCATTTAAGCTGTTAAGTTATTTACGGCAAGAAATCAAAAACATGTAATAACAGTTTCTGCCTATAACATTAACGTTTAAATATATCAACACGGGTTGCTACCTGGCCATATTATTACTCACTCATAGTCGATTTATCATTTTTTTCATTTGCGTATGAGTTAAAAGGCCGAAATTGATGTGTCAAACCAGAAGTTGGATCATTGGCGTAGGTACGTTTAAGTGAAAATATCCAAGGCGAAATACAGTTGATACTATTTGAATTTTATTTAAATTTTTCAGGTCG